GACATGAATCTGAGCAAACTCCGAGACAGTGAAGGACAGGGAAGCCTGGCGTGCTGCAGTCTGTGGGGCTGCAAAGGATCAGATGCAACTAACTCTGACTGAAGAACAACAAGGGCATATCTCACTTAGGGTTCTCATGAGGATTAAACAAAACCATATATGAAAACAATATAGCACTGTGTCTGGCAAATAAGTGAATGCTATTATGAGTATCTTCTTCATCACTGCTACAATTAGCTCGAACATCTGAGCAAATTATTTCACATCTCTGTGTTCAGTTTCCATACCTGTAAAAAGGTAGTAACAACACTGGCACCATGTAGTAACGGGGAGGATTATTACATCGGATAATACACAGCTTTAAAACAGTTAGCTACTGTAATTCTTTACAGGTCACACAACACGGCACTGGCTAAATAAGCTACAATAAATGCATATGATGAAACACTTTGCTGAAAAACATCTAAGAGCATGAAAAAAATCCATAATGCACGCTAAATTTAACAAGACAGCTACAGATAGTATGGACAGTAAAATCCTTTTCTTTTGAAAATATACATATATACATTAATAGAAAAGGCAGCAAGAATATACTCCAAGATCTGCAATTTGTGGATATCAGCAACTAAACAGTTATTTAAAAAAAAAAAAAAAAGATACCTTATTACCACCACTACCACATCAAAAGCACTAACAAAACAATAACCCAAAACCCTACACACATCTGTGTTTAAAAAAGCAGGAGTATCCTGACCAGACACCTCCAATCGCATCAGATCATAATTAAGATTCTTCCATGAATATTTAAAAAAAGAATACTAAAACTTGTAAAATTTTAGTGGGTTAAGAAGGGAGAAGGAGGCTACCTGTCTCTAAGACACACATCTTTATTTCCCACAATTCCAGTTAAAAGCCTTCATATTTTATATTGACATAATACAAAAAATTCTCTAAAAATAGGAATGCAAGAACATTTCTACAATAGCAATTTTTCTTGGAGTGAATATTAATCTTTAAAATGAGTATTTTACAGCATAGCTGTTACTGAAGATAAATCCTATGGTTGTGTTGAGAGAATACTGTCATGAGATTAACAAAATGAAATTAAAAAAAATTAGTTTCTTAATTTAAAAAAATGGACCAGCAGGCAGATTACAAGCTGGTATTCAGTAGAAAGTAGAAATAACTATCAGTGGTACTAAAATATATATATATATACGAATTCTGACTTTAAAAAAAGACATTAGATACTATACTATAAAATATTTAGTTAAGGGAAATTCCCTAGCAGTCCAATGGTTAGGACTTGGCGCTTTCACTGCTGGGGCCCAGGTTCAATCCCTGGTTAAGGAACTAAACTCCTGCAAGCCGTGTGGCATGGCAAAAAAAAAAGAAATGCTACTTCAATAATTGAAGGGTACCTACGTCTTCCCATCTTCACTGCAAATTATATTTCACTTGAATAACACTTAAGCAACAGTTATACATAAATATGCAATATGCACTATTTGAAGGTGGGAAAGAAAACAGGATTCTCAAAAGGCAAAGAAACAGCCCTTTTAAACCACAAATTTTACAGAATCTCTTAGTATCAAGCAGATTTTTCCAAGCAAAATGCACCCTTTTCTCAATCCACCTGCAAACATATGAAAAGAAAATTACTATTTTTCCCTTCCAGTGACATCAGTAAATAAGCCTCAGTAACCCAGAGAAAGATTTTATTTTCAATATTTTAATACTGACTCCCTCTGCTGTATAAAAAAGGATTCAAAAATGTCATTTCCCTTAGGATCTAATTAGGTACAATTCTTTCCATTTGTTTCCCATAAACACAAGTTGTGTTGAGAGAATACTGTCATGAGATTAACAAAATGAAATAAAAATTAGTTTCTTAATTTAAAAAAATGGACCAGCAGGCAGATTACAAGCTGGTATTCAGTAGAAAGTAGAAATAACTATCAGTGGTACTAAAATATATATATATATACGAATTCTGACTTTAAAAAAAGACATTAGATACTATACTATAAAATATTTAGTTAAGGGAAATTCCCTAGCAGTCCAATGGTTAGGACTTGGCGCTTTCACTGCTGGGGCCCAGGTTCAATCCCTGGTTAAGGAACTAAACTCCTGCAAGCCGTGTGGCATGGCAAAAAAAAAAGAAATGCTACTTCAATAATTGAAGGGTACCTACGTCTTCCCATCTTCACTGCAAATTATATTTCACTTGAATAACACTTAAGCAACAGTTATACATAAATATGCAATATGCACTATTTGAAGGTGGGAAAGAAAACAGGATTCTCAAAAGGCAAAGAAACAGCCCTTTTAAACCACAAATTTTACAGAATCTCTTAGTATCAAGCAGATTTTTCCAAACAAAATGCACCCTTTTCTCAATCCACCTGCAAACATATGAAAAGAAAATTACTATTTTTCCCTTCTAGTGACATCAGTAAATAAGCCTCAGTAACCCAGAGAAAGATTTTATTTTCAATATTTTAATACTGACTCCCTCTGCTGTATAAAAAAGGATTCAAAAATGTCATTTCCCTTAGGATCTAATTAGGTACAATTCTTTCCATTTGTTTCCCATAAACACACCTTAAAAACAGATAGCTTAACAAAGTAAAATATATTATTTTGGGTTAGGACAGTAAAAATAATCAACCTCCAGAATATATCCTTCAAATCTAAATTCTTTAGTCCAGAACTTAGACAAACCTAAGAAAAGAAACACTTGCTTTACAAAAATCTAAGTATTCTTCCTGGGCCATGCTGAACAATTTAGTAACTTGAAACTTGGGGAAAGCATTTGAAGTCCGTGAACCTCAGTCTCTCTTTACCTGTAAACCTAAGAATGAAGACACTTATTACAACTCTGCAAACTTGGTAAGGCCAATGTCAGAACCCAATTTAAATTCGTTCTCTGCACAATTACTGACCACCTACTCATGACATACAGTGTACAGGGCTAGGACTGCCAAATTTAGCAAATGGAATGTATTTATACCTTAAAATTATTTACTGTATGTAAAGTTAATTGCGCATCCTGTACTTTAGGGCTTCCCTCATAGCTCAGTTGGTAAAGAATCTGCCTGCAATGCAGGAGACCAGGGTTCGATTCCTAGGTCGGGAAGATCCTCTGGAGAAAGAAATGGCAACCCACTCCAGTATTCTTGCCTGGAAAATCCCTTGGACAGAGGAGCCTGGCAGGCTACAGTCCATGGGGCTGCAAGAGTCGGACACGACTTAGCAATTAAACCACCACCACCTCTACTTTATCTGGCAACTTTCCCTGAAGCACATACAGAGACACAAGTAAGACAGCTTATCTTTAGAAGACTTACAAAAGTAAGCGAAATTAATGTATATGTAAACACACTACCATACAGGGAAGGGTAGTAGCTATGTCGCATTTAAAGAAAGGACCAAGGGGGGGAAAAAGCTAAGTTGGGAAAACAGTAAGAGGGCTTTGGGGAATGGTTACAATCAACAAGCACTCACAAGATTCAAAGGAGAATAAAAAACGTGACAGTACTTAGTTACAGCCTCGATTCTTGCCCCACAAACTTGTGTAGTCACCAAATACCCTCTTCCATTATACAAAGTGGAAACAGGTTTTGAAGTTATTTGCCATTATTTTCACACAAATCAATTTAAATTACTTCAAAAAGACAGGCATTAACAATCTCTCAACAGAAAAATGTACAAAAATGCCAACTCCTAATATTCTGACTTCAGTTCAGTCGCATTATCTCCCTGTCAAATCGAGTTATAGTTCTCCGCTTATTTTACCCAATATTATTAAACAAATTCTGTCCAGTGTAGACAGGGCCGGTAAGACTAAAATCTTCATAAGATGTCATCCTTTTTCTCACTTTCTGTCATCCAAACAACGGCTTCCTATCTCTGCCTCCTAAGTAAACAGCTCTGTGTGTTTCACTCTTCAAATAGTTTTAAGCAGATCATTTTTAACTAGATGCAAACACTACTGCTTCTTTACTTTGCACTTCCTGCTCCATCCCTCTGCAGGTGCTTTCTTCTTCCTACAGGCCCAGTCATCATTCTTCATGACATAAGCCAACCCTGATTCTAGTCTATGAGTGGGAAATTCACAAAGCTCAAAAGTTAAATAACCAACTAAGCTGCAGGACATGTGTATAGAAAAGGTTGTAGTAATGCAAAAAATCTATTCATATCATTCTTTCTCATCATACACCCTCATGCAATCTTACAGGTCAAAGGATTTCAGACTTCAAAGTCCACAGTTCTCTCATTTTCACAAGATGATGGAAATCATGCCCTATGATCATGTGTGACTAGTCTACACTTAAGAGAGCAAGCAAGGAACCAGAGTCAGATTTTTTGATTTTCAGTTCAGTATTTTTTCTGCTAAATTACACTTCTATCCTACTATACTCTCACTACATCTTCTGACTGGTAGCTGATATATTCCATGAATTTCAATTCTATTGCATATTTTTACTCTTTTTGAAAATATAAAGAAATCTATATAGTTATTCAAACTGCAATGAATTAATCCCTCATAACACAGTAACCTAAAATTCAGTTTAACTAAAAAACAAGACACCAGATTCATCTTTATAATAGTCTGCATTTTTAACTCTATAAGGAAGCGTGAGAAAAGTATTTATATATCACAGTGGACCAAACTGACAAGTTCAAGACATGAAACACTGTGAGTATCAAATCTTACAAAGACGCTGATCATCGTATCTTCAGTGGAAACTGTTTATTGAAGCACTATACCAATCTTAATAAGCATATAAATACTGCTGAGGTTAGATTTTTAAACTCCATTTTTCTAGAATTAGGGGAGGGGGGGAAAACTATTATTCAAAAACTACCATTCATATTTAATTTAAACATACATGACTAGAAGGATCTATAAGTTTACAACCACAGGGATAATTAGATGACCAATGTTCCTGTATTTTGAGAAGATTACCAATGACAACCCTTTTCAATGGTCTTACCTTTGTTGAAAGTACTTTAAACGTGCTCTGCTCTGGTATTATAGGATGAAGAAGTCTCAGTTTCAAACTGTAATCCTCTCCAGAAGGAAGTTTCACCAAAGCAGACAACTAATGAACATAAAATTAGTAGCACATTTTAGAAATTAATTTAAAGAAGGGTAAAGTACTTAAGCTGACTATAATTACAGAACTTTAGTACTGTTGCAGAGTATTTTTAAAGCCTTATATGGAATATAAGATTTAAGAATCTCAAAATAATCCTTTTTAAAAATCTGGTATCCTTCATAATTCAAAAAGACCCATGTACCTCAATGCTCACCACAGCACTATTTACAACAGCCAAGACATGAAAGTAACCTAAATGTGCATCAAACAGATGAATGGATAAAAATGTGATGTATGTATATATATATATACATATACATATATACATATACATATATATGGGTGTGTACACACACATACATGATGGAATATTACTCAGCCATAAAAAGGACAAAATTGGGTCATTTGTGGATAGATCTAGAGTGTGTCATAGAGTGAAGTCAGTCAGAAAGACAAAAACAAGTATCATGTAACAAAGCATGTATCTGGAATGTAGAAAGACGGTAACAGATGAGCCTGTTTGCAGGGCAGGAACAGAGAAGAAAACAGAACAGATATGTGGACATGGCAGGGGGCGGGGAAGGGAAGAGGAGGAGGGGAGACAAACTGGGAAAGTAGATTAGACATGTGTACACTGTGGTGTGTGACAGCCAGTGGGAAGCTGCTATACGGCACCAGGAGCTCAGCTGAGTGCTCCGGGACGATCTAGGGAGTGGGACCCTTGGGGAAAGGCAGGAGGAGGTTTAAGAGGAAAGGGATGTATGTATACATACAGCTGTTTCACTTTGTTGCCCAGCAGAAACTAACACTGTAAAGCAATTATACTCCAAAAATAAACAGCACTGCCCATGACAAAAAAGGGGGGGAAAATGTAAATGGACTAAATGTTCCAATCAAAAAAATAAAATAAAAAAATCTGGTATTCGTCAGACAAATTCTTATATACCTAATTAAAGAACAGAGTATGTTTCATAACATATACTATACATTTAAACCTCAAGGAAACTCAAGATACAAGGGCCAAATAGTACAGCATGCAACAAAAAAAAAGCATTCTTGTGCAAAACATCTAGTTCTACCACAAACTCTTAAATATCTATTACAAGGTTTTCCACTAAATGCTAAGAAACCAAGTTATTAAAAAAGTCATACTCATTTAATACGGTTAAAGTCCTAACAAAACAGCAGACCTTTTCCATTAAGTGTACCACACAACGTAACCAAAGCATGGTTATAATGTGTCTAAACTTCCCTAATGTGTCTTTTATATTTACCAACCAAGTTCTGCTTTAAATCCCAAATCTAAAGAGGAAACAATGCACATCCAGCTATACCTACAGTATAAATACTCTTGTCTCAAAACTTAAAATGATCCAAATGGAAAAGCAATGCTTCAGATTTTCATCAGCATTTCCATATTATCTCAGGAAGAAATGATAGATTGCTTGATAGATTGCTATAATTATTCTGCAATAAATATTTATTTATATTTACAATTGGAGTAGGAAATGGCAACCCACTCCACTATTCTTGCCTGGAAAATTTCATGGACAGAGGAGCCTGGTGGGCTACAGTCCCTGGGGTTGCAAAGAGTCAGACTCAACTGAACACACACACACACATTTATAAATAAAAGTATTTAATCTCAATAAAAAATAACTCAAAGACTATAATGACCTCTTTTTCTGAAAATTCCACATTTACATCATTCTTCTGAACATTCTTGATCATAAGTGTAATGATTACTTGAGATTCTGTTTGATACCAGTCATACCTATTAAAAAAGAAAAAGGAAACTTAAAACAGAACTTCTGAATTTCTTAAAGTTGTTGCTTCTTTGCTTTGTCAAGATAAAAGTTACAATCTGATGAACAACAAGAGCTCCACCTTGAGGAACAAAATAGCAAAGCAGCTGCTGGCTCACAGAAATAATTTTATGTAACCAATTCCAAATGGCAACCCACTCCAGTATTCATGCTTGGAAAAATCCCGTGGACAGAGGAGCTACAGTCCATGGGGTCAGAGAATCAGACACGACTGAGTGACTTCACTTCACTTCAGTTTCACATACTAATGGAAGAGAAAATAAGGTAGATGATGCCCCAACTCTCTCCAGTGGATTTAATAATTTACATAATTTTTTAGGTTCTAACGTATCCCCAACAGTGTTGTGCTTAAGCTAATTTTTTTTCTTTTTGGCCACGCCACGCAGCATGCGGGATCAGTTCCCCAACCAGGGATCAAACCCATGCCCCCTGCAGTGGAAGCTAGGAGTCTTAACCACTGGACCGCCAGGGTATTTTAAGAATAAACAATAAAATTTATTCTAAACAGATCACAGTTCTAATACATCAGCAATAATTTTACCCTCTCATTTCAACCTAATACTAAGAAGTAAACAGTTCTATCCCAATTTTAAAAAAAACAAAACAAAACAAAAAAGGCTCAGAAGGATGAGACAGTCAGTTTAAATTAGTAGCAGGGGATACACTGGACCTGACCCCATATTCTAGGATCTCTACTGAAGCTGGGGGCAAACAGTCCTGAGCACAGGGAGCAGGAGTAAATGAGCTAAAATTAAAACAATTCAACTCATTTTGTCAGGCACAGTATTAAACACAACATCTACAATCTCAAACTATGTGGGAAGATTGGTGTGTCAAGAGATTCTAATCATGTGTATCTTTCCCTCTGAAAGCTGGGATCCTCACTTTCAAATTAGACTAGATTAACTCTATGAGAGAAGAGCTATTGATTTATTCTGCCACTATTACATTCCCAGGATGAAACACGGTGCACTGATACATGGTGTGTTTATTGAATCAGTGTGGGATTATTTTATATATATTCTATACTCCAAACACCATATTTATTAAGTTTATGTACCCTACCCCTGCCCAGCATCATAATTATTATTTCAGTTTATGTACCCTACCAGGGTACATAAACTGAAATAATAATTATGGTGTTTGGAGTATAGAATATATATAAAATAATCCCACACTGATTCAATAAACACACCATGTATCAGGGATCCTCACCTGCTACTTACATTCATGATTGTAACTGCTGCCTTCTGCAAGTAACATTCAATGCATGCAGAATTATTCCATGAAAAATTTACTCCAAATATAAAAGGCAGGTAAAGTTACGATATTATCAGGTCTACTACTAACTTACTGACCTATGTAATAAAAATAACTTAAATGTAAGAGGTTATTCTCAATATATGGAAAGATGACATAATATGCAACCATATGAAGCAAGTTTTAAGTTAACCTTAATATGAGCACTGATTCAAATTGGTTAATGGACTTACAACTATAGTTTTTCAAGGCTTTAGTAAGATTTATTTTAAAAACTAAGAAATACTTAAATCACAGGTAGGGACTTGCTTACTAATAACAGGGTTTCTTTTCCCTTTAGGCTTATTTATCATGCATTATGAAAAAGAAATCCTTACTTAATTTTTGACTGATGAGTCCTCTGGGATGCAGGCTGATTTGGGCAAATTGAGAAAGAAAGATTTACGAGTTAGTTAAACTGCATATTAAAAATGCATTGTATTATTAATTTACCCAGTGCTATAGTTACTTTGATATGGAATAATTACATGAAAACTTTCTACAAAGCATGGTATACATCAACGTTAAATAATACTCATCTTCACAAAAATCAGAATATTCAACATTTTAAAAAATTTTATGAGTTTCCATTTCAAAAATCATTTTTCTTCTAAAATAAAAGCAGCAAAAAAAAGAAAAATTTCAGAAGATATGTTCGGAAAAGATAACAGATAAAATGTCCAGTTCCAAGATTCAGCAATGCTCTAAACTGAAAATAACAGTAACATTTAAAAAACCATTTTCAGGAATGTAGTATTAACACTTCCAGGCTTAACAATGGCAAAACTGCCCTGGAAAAACCTATGGAGGAGTCCTTCCCCGGTGCCTTCCTGATATGGTCTGACCCTGGTTCATGGTCTCTGCAACAATCTACCTCGACCACTGAGAAACAAAGTGACTCTTTTTAGCCAATTCAAACTTTCCTAACTATTATTAATAAATCTAAAGGACCTGCCCTGGGTCATTGGTGGCCTCTAACTTGTTCTTGAGGAAGAAGGGAAGAGACAGCATTTGGAGGAAGAAAATAAGGAAAACTGTCCTAAAGAGATATGGAACTGCCAGAAAGTGCACTTGGAGTACTGTCTCAAATATATTTAATAATAATATAATTAAGTAAAAACACAAAGGATTAAAAACTTTGGACTTACCACCTCAGGCTGTGATCCTATTAAAAACAAAAAAGAAACATTTTCAGATAACAGTACCTGCATAGACAAAATTACATACATGATTTCTAAGGCACAAATATATTATTAAGGAAACCAATTCTCCATGCATATCTAATGAGGGAAAGTGGTTTAATTTTACAGGCTGTAGTCACTTGAGACTCCTCAGTAATTTCTTACCACTGCAAAACGAATCTGTTCAAATCTCCCTTTCAACATAAGGAACCAGGTAAAAAAATCAAAATACCTTTGGAAATCCCAATCTAATAGAACATGCACTACTTAAACTATAAGTTATAAAGTTCAAAACAAAAAAAAATGACAAACATTGACTTCTTTTTAAATTCAAAGACCATGGGAAATCTGCATACTTACCATTCTGAGCTTCTTGACACCTTTTAATCCAAGCAATGAAATCAGCATCTGCACCTAGAAAGAACAAACTATAACAACACTCATCTGCACAACCTAACATACTCACTCAACAAATACTGACTGCATACCTACTAGGTTACAAACACAGTTCTAGAAACTATGGATCTAACAGTAGGTTAGATGAAAACATGTCCTAATAGTGTGTAGCTATCCTTAATATTATAGCTATTAGTTAGGTTTAATATTTATTTTGTTCATCCTGAAGAATTTTGATTTTTAAAAAATCAACTTTAATCAGTCAACCTTATTGGTTCCAAGATACAGATATCTCCATTTGCCCTCACCCTTTCCTCTTAAAAGAGCTTCCTCTCACACAACAAAATCAGACCTGAATCAGATCCCTAATATGCTGTCAGTTGGCGGAGGAGGGGTCTGCAGACCTGGCAACGAGCAGCTGGGCTGAAGCCTCTGTCCACCTATTTGCTGTCTAATGCAGTTGCTTGTCCTGTCTACTATTTTTTCAGCAGCTTTACTTATGACCATGCCTTCAACACCAAGAAGCATCTTTATATTCTGCAGAGTCCTGTCGTATCTCTAAGTTCCATGACATCCATGACGCTACATACAGTGAATCATAGTTGACTGCATAGACAGCAATGCAAACATGTACATAAGCAAATTATTTCTGAAGACTCAGGGCAATGACAGTATGTAAACAAGTCATAGCATCTAATAAAATATAATGTTAAGAAAAATTATTAGAAGTGATCATAATAAAAGTTCACTAATTTAATCTAACTGCAGGTACCATTATTCTGAAAAACACAAAGTTTAAAATTTCTTAAAATGAAATTTTCTAATTCATTAATTTACAGACAGAATTCAACTATACAGGCCTTAAAATACATACACATTTTAGAGGTGAACATTTATATAAAAATTCTAAGTGTGAAGAATTGATTATTCAAATCAATCAGTAAATAAGCTGATTCCTATCATACAAAGGGGAAAAAAGGTAATATGGAGTTAAAATTTTTTTCCCTAATAAAATGGAAGCTGAAGAGTTTAACCTAAGATTTTCCTAGAATTAGAAGATGAATTTGATTTTAAATTAAGTATCCTCAACAGAAATTTTACCAAAGAGCAGACATCCTCTTCTGAGGTTACCTCTGAAATAATTCTATGATAAAAGTCAACAGCATTATAATAAAGTGTCAAGGAAGGAACTTAAGGAGGGAACTTTCTGTTGCTCAAAAAAAGAAGAAACAGGGCTTAGAAATCTAAAGATGAAGTGATTCACGTCTCATCAGCCTTTTCAAGCATGTATCAAGGTGCCAAGAAAACTGGACTCTAGAACTTGCAAAGTGTATACATGCTGGCTTGGTAACTGAATAGCCATATTATTCACATACCATGCTTGGGATAACCAAGTTTGAGAGTAACTCCTACTGCCTAGATCTCTTCTTTCCTAATTTGCAGGTTCTGTTTGCAAAGTTGATCTTGTCACCCTTCTTAAGTAGGTACACAGCAGAAAAGCAAATATTCAAAGTCATATATATTTTCGGAGAAGGCAATGGCACCCCACTCCAGTACTCTTGCCTGGAAAATCCCATGGACGGAGGAGCCTGGTAGGCTGCAGTCCATGGGGTCGCTAAGAGTCGGACACGACTGAGCGACTTCACTTTCACTTTTCACTTTCATGCATTGGAGAAGGAAATGGCAACCCACTCCAGTGTTCTTGCCTGGAGAATCCCAGGGACAGGGGAGTCTGGTGCGCTGCCATCTATGGGGTCGCACAGAGTCGGACATGACCCAAGCAACTTAGCAGCAGCCAGTATATATTTTAATGTATAAAGTATAATCACATACGACTTTTGTATGAGGGTTTTCAACCTCAGCACTACTGACATCTGGGACCAGATGCTTCTGTTGTGGGGACTGTCCTGTTCAGGATGTTGAGCAGCATCCCTCACGAGATGTCAATGGTATACCCCCTATCCACCAGTCAGGAGAGTCAAAAATCACTGCAGACACTCCAAACACCCCCCACAGAGGAAAATCATCCCCAGCTAGGAACTACTGCCTTAGAGAATTGTGGTTAACACGCTATCATAAGATGGAGATAAAAATAAGAGAACACAATTAAGACTATGTTGTCCATAATTATCTACGAGATTACTGACACCGTTTTGTATTTTGCAGATTTTTTTTGATACTTGGCTCTTATCAAGTTCTACATATTGTACATAGATATCCACACTGTTGGGATAATTTTCATCTATTTCTCTCAAAAAGACAGTATTAGAAACTCACAATACTCTCAAAGTTCCATGTTTCTTCGATACCCTATCATACTTTACCCAAACTTACACTTCACCTCTGAATAAAAACCTTTGTTCTAAGATTTCCTTATCTCTGCAATCTGAATAATAACTTAAATAGACTTCACAACGTGAGAGCAAGTTAAACTTACACTTGTCCATTAGGAAAAAATAAAAAGCCAGACCAGTACTGGGAGCACACCTACTGTTTAAATAGTTCTTTTGCTTCTAACGATAGTTTTTCTGGGATTTAAATGCTAAGAAAGGCCAATTTAATCAAGTTTTAAATAAACTCAAACTCTGCAATCAACACGAAATGTCATTAAGAGAGAAAAAAGTGTTTCTATAATTAACTTGAGATTATACTAACAAGATTCAGCTATGGTATTTAAGATACACAGGTATGATGGACTAGTTTACTAACATATAATTATAATACTTACTATTTAATTTCTGTCCGTCTGTAAAAGTTTCTAGAGCAGCAGCATAGTTTTTTTCATGGTATTCACATATCCTGCATATTAAAAACAACCATACACATGTAAGATCATGAAACACAGCTTTCTTTCTCTCAAAAAAAAAAAAAGTTTCTCTTTTTTAAAAGAATTGAAGCATGTTAACAAGCCAACAGATGTTCTGAAGTACTCGACTGTAGCATCCGTGTGTGTGTGTCAGTCGCTCAGTGGTGTCTGACTCTGTGACCCCATGAACTGCAGCCCGCCAGGCTCCTCTGACCATGGCAAGAATACTGGAGTGGGTTGTCATTTTCTTCTCCAGGGGATCTTCCTCACCTAGGGACTGAACCCAGGCTCCTGCATTGCAGGCAAGATTCTTTATCATCGGAGTCACCAGGGTAACATCTAATTCCCATTAAAAATGTGGAACTCTTTTCAGAAGGAATTTCTTAACTGTACATACTTGCTTATTCCAAAATATAGTTACACTAAGGAATTAAAGAAGCTTCTGATTCTTAAAGATTAAAGTTACACTTATTAACAGAAACAAGCTGGGATATAAAGTACACAGACACAGAGTCATCTTGAAGTGTAGTCTGTACAGCTTAGGTGAGAAATAAGATGTTCTCTAGTCAGTTAAACACAGTAAATTTCAAATGATGATACAAAAAAGGGATTTGAAATCATTCAGTTTCATCTATACCCTGCAGTTATTTCAATCATCTCTATTTTAAACTATACACACACACAGTGTATCTCATTACATACTGCAGTTAATACAATAAAAGTATAAAATATACCAAAAATTGAATCCTATCTCAACTATAAAATGTATAAACACAGGGTTTACTATTTACATAAAGTTTACAGGGAGAGTAGGTTCAGGATGAGGGGACCATGTATACCTATAACTGACTCATACTGATGTATGGCAAAAACCATCACAATATTGCAATTATCTTCCAACTAAAATGAATAATTTTTTTTTAAAAAGGGGAAAAAGCTTACAATTAATTCATTTAACCACATAATAGTCCAGACCCAACAAGAAGAGTAGTTACTGCCTACCCCTTTCTCAGCAGAGCAGTGGAACTATTTGGATTAAGTTCAAGGGATTTTTTTGTGTCAGCAACAGCATCTGCAGATGAAAAAGTGGGTTTTTTGGTCAGTTACTTATGGATCCTAAGAAATACTACACACAAAATTTGAATTAGTCTTAGATTTTTAAGTTTTCAAGCTGGTGAAATGGACAAATGACTTGAAAACAGGAAAAGCTAGTCTGAGATAAAATTACCCTCATACATTCCTATTGACCAAATCTTCAAGCTCTTCAGGAAATGAATAAAGCTCTGTATCACAAGTTCAGGTAATTCATTAACATCATTCATGTAGTTTGACTCACAGTATTTAATTTTTCCCTACTCAGATTATCCAGAATGATTAAAATTACAGAATATAGAATATATTATTTTCATAAAAAAAAGAAGAGAATTCATTCAAATGCTCTGTAAATTAGTAAATGTGATGCTATCTTTTGTTAGCACATCCAGGAACCAAAAATGAAATCTTACAAATTCTACACCCACTGCAGAAAGAATGAACAACGGTAAAATTTAAATGAGTGACACGCAACATAATGCTTTCATATTTTGGCTACTTCACCGTGTATGAAAGATCAAGTTACAAGTCCTGGAAGATAACCTCTGTTTTATGTGATTCATTGTATCTTGGGCAAAGTGTGTAAGTTACTTATAGAGACAATATACTTTGTAAGGCAAGTTACCACTGTAATTTCCAAGAAGAATGTGACAATAAGCTCTTTGACAGTAATACTCTGCATCATCTGGTTTCTGCTCCAAAGCCTTAGTCAGCTCCTACAAATACAAACATGCTGAGTGTCAGTAAATGTTTTTTAAAAGTCACTGAATTCTAATTAAACATGATCTTTAATAAAATAACCTATTATCACAAGCTATTTGGAGGAAACATAACAGGGAAACAAGCTTGGAGCCTTTCTTTGCAAGAGGATCAATATCCCCCCTTCTCCCCTTGAAAGCCCACAATCGAATGTAATATCTATGCAAAGCACTTAGCAGTTTCCAGCCTACAGTAGGAACTCAATAAATGGTAATTATTATCACCTGATTTATTCTGAAGAGTTTAGTTGATATACATTGACCATCACCGATTTTCTCCTTCTAATTTGGAGAAGATTCAAAGACCATGTAGAATTTAAGATCCCTAGAAATGTGAAGCTGCCCAATAATTTTTAAGAACTGAAAGTTAAATCTAGAGCTCAGGAGGTTAATGGAACCAATAAATACATAAGTAAGCTTACCTGGCCCTCTCCTATCCTCTTGTCAATGGCCTAAGAAATTACAACATTCTGTCAAAAGCCCAGCCAGATACAGTATCTCATAGGTGGCTACTATCAACCGATCAAGAATTAAAGAACAATTAAAACTTCTGCCACTCTGGGCAGTCATAGCATGTGTTAGCTGGAACAATAACAATGCAAGAAGAGAGCATGATTAGTGAGGCCAGGGACAAATGCAGGCAAACAGAGAGGCTTTGATTCAACAGCCATGATTCAACAGCCATTTACCCACACATCTAGGAATTCTGGTAGTTTTCTTAGTTAAGTAAAATTACTTCAATAGTCATACATGAGGCTCTGCTTAAACCCTGTAGGGTGATTCTCACAAACCAATGTGTATTATACTTGGTAATCATATACCTACAACCCAATATACCTAAAATCTAAAGCAATGTTTTACCATCTGAACTCCTATCACCCTGATTCAAGCAGTAATGAAAATTGGATCCTGTTACTAAATCTCTCTTCAAAACTCTCCAAGGCCTTACCAGGTGACTCAGAGCAAAGGCCCAAGTGCTCCAATGATCGGTTAAGGCCCTCCTTGACAGAACCCTCAGCTCTCTCTCTTATCTCATGTCTTTAAAACTCTTTCCCTTGTTCCACAATGGGCTCCTCCTTGTTCCTCAAACACCTCCGGACCCTCCACCCCCTCACTACAGTGTGTGGTGAAAATCCATTCCCTCACATCCTGGTCAGTGACTGTGCCAGAGACAAGATTCAAGTCCAAGTCTATCTGACTCCAAATCAAATTTTAACCACTATGCACTGCCTCCTGGTAAAATTACTTTACTCCAAGTTTCTTTCACACACCATCTAACATCTGTACTAACTCAACGCTTCCTAATGAAATACTTAAGCTAAAAACACCTTCTTGCACTAAAATTTCAAACAATTTGGAAAACAGCTGATGGCTTACGTAACTACTCCCTAAACCAAATTTCCAACCTCTCCTCACCAAGAACAGGCATACTATAGGTCAAAAAGGCTGTCATATTATAACGACATCTGGTTCATCAATTCAAAAAGTATTTTTAAACATATATTTTGGAACAAACAACAGGCCAGACACTAGAGGTTGACAGATGCATAAAATATTCCTTTTCTTAAGGAGTCAGGTATAAACTTATGAATTCTGAACAACCCACTTGCAAATGACCTTTAAAAACACAAACCAATTGTTGGATAAGAAGAACCAACTAGGGTGATTAGGTTAAATAAGCAACTGACTTACTTTGGTGTTAGTAAAAAAAGTTACCCCAAATCACCCAACACAAACAGAACTTTATAACACACCAACTTGTATTTCATGAATAAAATACAACAATAAATTTTTATTTTGAATAAGGAATATAAAATATAACAAAGCCAAAAAAGGTTAAGTTAAAATAATTGTGCTGTCTGAACTACCTCTGAACCAGATACAGTATCTCATAGGTGGCTACTATCAACCGATCAAGAATTAAAGAACAATTAAAACTTCTGCCACTCTGGGCAGTCATAGCATGTGTTAGCTGGAACAATAACAATGCAAGAAGAGAGCATGATTAGTGAGGCCAGGGACAAATGCAGGCAAACAGAGAGGCTTTGATTCAACAGCCATGATTCAACAGCCATTTACCCACACATCTAGGAATTCTGGTAGTTTTCTTAGTTAAGTAAAATTACTTCAATAGTCATACATGAGGCTCTGCTTAAACCCTGTAGGGTGATTCTCACAAACCAATGTGTATTATACTTGGTAATCATATACCTACAACCCAATATACCTAAAATCTAAAGCAATGTTTTACCATCTGAACTCCTATCACCCTGATTCAAGCAGTAATGAAAATTGGATCCTGTTACTAAATCTCTCTTCAAAACTCTCCAAGGCCTTACCAGGTGACTCAGAGCAAAGGCCCAAGTGCTCCAATGATCGGTTAAGGCCCTCCTTGACAGAACCCTCAGCTCTCTCTCTTATCTCATGTCTTTAAAACTCTTTCCCTTGTTCCACAATGGGCTCCTCCTTGTTCCTCAAACACCTCCGGACCCTCCACCCCCTCACTACAGTGTGTGGTGAAAATCCATTCCCTCACATCCTGGTCAGTGACTGTGCCAGAGACAAGATTCAAGTCCAAGTCTATCTGACTCCAAATCAAATTTTAACCACTATGCACTGCCTCCTGGTAAAATTACTTTACTCCAAGTTTCTTTCACACACCATCTAACATCTGTACTAACTCAACGCTTCCTAATGAAATACTTAAGCTAAAAACACCTTCTTGCACTAAAATTTCAAACAATTTGGAAAACAGCTGATGGCTTATGTAACTACTCCCTAAACCAAATTTCCAACCTCTCCTCACCAAGAACAGGCATACTATAGGTCAAAAAGGCTGTCATATTATAACGACATCTGGTTCATCAATTCAAAAAGTATTTTTAAACATATATTTTGGAACAAACAACAGGCCAGACACTAGAGGTTGACAGATGCATAAAATATTCCTTTTCTTAAGGAGTCAGGTATAAACTTATGAATTCTGAACAACCCACTTGCAAATGACCTTTAAAAACACAAACCAATTGTTGGATAAGAAGAACCAACTAGGGTGATTAGGTTAAATAAGCAACTGACTTACTTTGGTGTTAGTAAAAAAAGTTACCCCAAATCACCCAACACAAACAGAACTTTATAACACACCAACTTGTATTTCATGAATAAAATACAACAATAAATTTTTATTTTGAATAAGGAATATAAAATATAACAAAGCCAAAAAAGGTTAAGTTAAAATAATTGTGCTGTCTGAACTACCTCTGACTTGGGGCATGTTTTCAGTGTTGTTACTGTTCCTGTGACAACAGCTGCTAGTCACTGGCTGCTGACTGAAGGGAGGGATTGCAAAAAGGACTTCGGTGCTGACACTTGAATCACAGCAGCAAAAAGGCTATTTAATGCAGACTTACATGAAACATATCCAAAGATACCGTATTTCTCACGAGTTGCTATAGTTGAGCAATTTATAGTTCTCAAAAGTAATGAAATCTATTAAAGTGTAAAATATAATTACACTGAAATCTCTACCAAGATAATGGTAAAGAAAGTTAAGTACCCTGATAACACAGAACTACAGGGGGGAAACTACCTTTTAAGAAATTAACATTGTTAAAAAAAAAAGAAGGAATTAACATTGTTTAAGATTTGGATCTTGGAAAACTAACTTCCAAATCTTTAGAGCTTTAGGCTCTTTTAAAATGCTAACCAGAAAGGTAACTTACTAAGATTAAAAGCAAAAGCAGACTGACCGAATGTCTAAAGGCCTTTAGCTCTAGGTGTCTCATGCTATCTCCACTTTCTACTTTCTTCCAGTCACAGCTAATCCCCAATCATGGATAAACAAGAACACCAAGCCTTCTCCCTCCCTAAAAAGCAGTGCTGGAAAAACATCACATAATCATGTAGAACTGGTATGTTTTATTCCAACCTGCTATGCCCTCAACAAAGCTATCTGTGGTCAGCTACTTCAAAGTCAGCTCACAAACATTTAATTATATCATACACCTCAATCCTACCCACTCCTCCAGAGGACCAGCTTCATGCCCTGAACCCAAACTCGACAGCCTAAGTAAGTTCATCTCTTTAGCCTCAGCTTCCTGGTTAGTAAAATGCACTGCACAGCTGTTCCAAGAATTACAGCAGGAATCATTTAATACATCTGAGTGCCTACCACATCGCAGTCACTACACTTAGAACACAGTGGTAACCAGATACACGAAACCGCAGCTCCCCTGAAGCTTACGCTGGGGCCTCATTCAGATAAAGTAGTCAGAAAAGACAGCTTCCTTGAGAAGGTGACATTTCAGATGAAATCTAAAGTGATGGGCATTTCCAACAAAACAATAAATAGTTTATAGAGAGGACATTCTAAGCAAAAGAACTGCTGCAAGTCCAAAGGCCCTGCACGAGGCCTGAGTCCGACACACCTGAGTAACAAAAAGAGAGCAAGTGGGGTGAGAACTTAAGAGAGCAAAGACTCTCCAAGATGCCTACCTCAAGGGCCTCACTCTTGGACCTTACATTACTTGTCATTATAATCATCCTTTCCAGTGGTCCCAGTCAGTCCCATTTTACGGACAGGAAGTCTGATCAAGAAGACAGCAGGAACTTTCCTGAGACCAAGATATGGTAGACCCAAGCAGTCTGATTCCAGAGCCAATGCTCTTATGCACCACTCATACTGGGACTCAAAAGATCCTTATAATCCACATAAACGTTTTCTCTCTCTGCTGAATTGAGACTTCCTCTACAAAGATTTTTTACTTCCCCAGTTGGCCTCTATTCTGCTGTAGCTTATACACCACTCCACTAGAGCATTTATCTTATATTCTAATGACCTGTTGACTTAACTCACTCTCTCTTCTAGACTACAAACTCCTTCACTACAGTATTTTCATCTTTAGATTGCTGGCTCCCAGTACAGCCTTCTACACTAATATACATTGTTTGTTTAATGAAACATGTAATCAGCTTGATACACTTTCTCTTTATTCTTAATAGGATGGTGTTATATAAAAATGTGACACTTTAACTGCTAAAATATCTAGTGACCTTAATTTCAAAACAATTACTTTAAACCAGCCCTTGGGAAAAGCGAGGGGGAAACTGACTCTTCTCATCAAGGTTCCGGCCCTACTCATTATTACCAATTATCGAGGAATTAACATTCACCTGTTTAACCCAGAGAGAAGATCGTCTCAAGATTTAAAAAGGACATTTCCTCTTAACACAGGCTGGTTCTTACCATGACCATCCTCCGCAGTCTGGGTTTCTGACTCAGGTCCGTGGCAGGTCCTGAGAATTCACATTTCTGACAAATTCCCAGGTGATGCTCCTGCGGAGGGTCTGGGATAACACTTTTGGAAACCACCACAGCACTAGACTAAGAGCAGGAAACTCCTGTCCTCAGGCCCCTATTCTGCCTCTACCTGGCTGTACACATCTCTGTGACGGATCACCTGGATTTCCTTGGGTCTGTTTCCTTCTGTAAAAAGGAAGGGTAAGGCGTACTGGCCTATAGAAGCCGTAAGTACATTCAGAAAATCTGCAGTGGGGAATTCCCTGGCAGTCCTCACATCCACTGCAGCAGGGATGGGTTCCATTCCTGCCTGGGGAACTAAGATGCCACATCACGTAGTGCCCCTCCGCCAAAAAAAGAAAAAAAAAAAAGAGGAAAGAAAAAGAAAATGTGAGGGAGGGGACATCCAAGAATTTGCATTTCTAAGGAATTTCTAAGTGATGCGAACGCTGCTGGTCCAAGAACCACACTTTAAGGACAAATGTACTAAAGCTAACCACACCTACACTATGCAATTTCACTCCCAGAAAGAAAAAAAAAAATTGCACTCTCGAAAGTAGTGCATGTATGTTCAGCAAAATACATGTATAAGAAAATCCACAGTGGTTTATTCATATTAACTAGAAATATCCCAAATGTCCACTGTTAAACAGCGCTATATTAATACAGTGGAATACTACACAGCAATGAAAAAGAATTATCGTTCCCACAAACTTATGGATGTACCTCACATAAAGTTTAAAGCAAGATAGAGTAGCTACACTCAACTAAGTATGATGCTGTTTGATACCGTATGATACTGTTTGTATGAAGTCCAAGGAAAACTAACTGATGGTGATGTAGTTCAGAACAGATGGGTAAGAGGAATTATTGGCTGGGAAGAAACTTTAGATTTGTGTTACATACCACACATCAATACATAATTTTATAAGAAAAATAAGTCAGATGTAAAATGACAATCCATTATATTAATATTTTTTAATAGCAACTATTATATAAACTAGATTTCCAAAGGAGGCACAGGGCCTAAGGGGACCATACAAATGTAGACTCTGAAAACAGCTGAAATAAGGAACTGTAGAGAAAAATTCTCAGTGCCTCTGGTAACATTATTCTAACAGTGACCTCAGAAGAATCACTAGGAAAAAATACCAGCACAGGAGTAATCAACCGCTTCATTTTAAGGTCTTCATATCCCAACCCCCCCAAAACATAGTCCAAGCTACAGACAAAAGGCACCAATGGATTAGGCCTTGGCTTCCTCTCCCCCTCCTCTCTCACTCCTTGCATCCCACCCTAACCAAACGGGCTTTCTCGCTGCTCCCTGGGCAGGCCAACTTCACTCCCACTTCAGGATCTTGACACTGGCTCCTCTTCCTGCCTGAAATAATCCTTCCGCAGAGCTTCCAAGCTCGCTCCCTCGTGCCTCTCCTCAAATGTCACCTCCTCTGCTAACCATGAGTCAATTTCTTTCAGAAGTCACAGCCAAGAGAAAGATTCTCTTGCCTCAAATTCCTAACCTTACATATGTTAGATGAGAAGAGCAAAACAAAGTCTCCTCTCTTTTTAAGCTTCAAAACAAGAAACCCCTGGCTAATTTTAAGACCCACCTGCCTCACGTATTCTTAGCTTGGGCTCTCTGATTTACTTCAAATTATTACTTAACTCACTCTTTTGGTTTCCTTTACAGCTTTACAGTCTTTCACTGAACACAAAGTGCTTTATAAGTCATTTAACTGTATAAATTAAGACTTTAATCCATAGCAACCAGTGCCTTCCACACAGCAGCCCCTCCCCCCGCCAAGAAATTGTTTTGAGAAACGAAACAAATGAGTGAGTAATGAAGAGAAACAGGGACGCCTGGAAATTTTCAGGCACACAAGGGGAAAAGGTTTCTGTCCTAGTGGTGTGAGTTCAGACAGGCCCTCAGGACACAACCGGGTACATAAAAATAATCAAGGATGATCGCCAAACGAAAATCCGAATGAACAAACATCGAGCCGAGATTTCACTTTTTGTTCTAGTCACAAATGCCATTAAAAAAAAAAAAAAAAAACACAAGTCCCTTGAGGCCCACGATGCAGGATCCCTAAGACAGAAGAAGGTTACGCTAAGGAGCTCCAAGGATGCATAAAGGGACCAGGGGTGGGAAAGGGACCCGACGAAGGATCCAACGTAACCAGGCCGCCGCGGGGAAGAAAAAGGAGGGGCGGAGGCTGTCAACATCGGGGCTGACCCGCACAAGAAGCAGCGGCCCCGACCCCCGGAAGACAAGAGCCGGGAGGAACCCGACGCGGCCGCCTGCCCCGGGGCACAGGCTGTCTCACCTCTAACGCCGCCTGGGGGTCCTGCTCGATGAGGGCATCTGAGAAGCTCCGGAACAACCTGCCAGGAAAAGAAGGGCTTCAAGCAAGGCTCACGAACCAAAGAAAGGGGCGGGGGGGGGGGGGGCGGAATGCCAATTACACCAAAGAGAAGGAAAAACGCGCACCTCGCGGCAGCCGCAGGACCCGCCGCCGCCGCCGCCATCTCTAATCGTCACGGTTCCCGCTGCCGGAGCTGCTCTTCCAGGGGTTACCAGCGCCGCCGCCGCCGCCCTAGGGGGAAACTTCTGGAGAATCACCCACCGAGCTTCCGTCCTAAGTAGCCAACGAGCAGCCGCGCAGCGTGCTGAGGGGAGGGGGGGAGGGGAGGCGAAATGCGGGCGCGGGGCGGGCTGGGACCGTGGAGGACCGACTCTCCGGACCCCGCCCCCCCGGCCGCTGACCTGCTTCGCAGGCCCCGCCCCACCGCAGCCATGGTTACGGAGGCCGCGGCGGGCCACGCGCGCCCTCCGTCCTAGTGCGCGCGCACACTACCCGAGAGCCTCCGGGCGCGGTAACTCAGTAGGACCCTTGTACCGTACAGTTAGCCCTCGGGAACGTGTGGCGTTTGGGAGACGTTTGTACGTCTGTCAGTAACGCACGGCACATTGAGCTCCATTTTCCCCTACGGCTCTCATCATGGCTCCCCAGAGGCAGCCACGACTTTCGCGACCCGTGACGCTCTCGGCTACGTGTTCTTTTCCGGGAGCCACTTCCGGAGGGCGGCCCGTTGACCCCGGGATCCTGGCGCCGGGAGACCTGAGGCCCATAAGCTCGCCGGGAGTCGCTCTTCCGTCGCAGTAGCTAGACTGGAGTTACGCCTTTTTGGTTCCGGTTCGGGCGGACCGCTTGGTTCCCCAGAACTTCACAGGCCGAGACTTTCTCCCCACTTGGCTTCCCAGATACAAGAAAAACGTGTTCCATCCGAACGCGCTGAAGGGAGAAAGGGAACCTGAAGTTTGTCCCAGTACCGCTCTACTTTCCACTCAGCGGGTCCGGCCCTCCTCTCTCAGTACCCCTCGACCTATGCAATTCCAATGGAAGAAACTTAGAGCTAATTCCACCAAGGCGGCAGCCGGGGAGCAGGAAGGCGTGGGAGTGAGCCGCCCATTAGTAGAGACGAACAAGGAGCTGAACTGGAGTGTCTGCTCCATCCGAAATCTAAACTTAAAGTCCGGGGATTCAGTGGTGTTAACACCCTCCAATTTTGTTCTAAAGGCTAAAAATGAAAGGGCAGTAGTCATTGATATGATAGCAAGAAGGGACACAACTGAATATAATGTATACGGATGGAGTCCTCACAGGTTGTAACTGAGCCTCAGTCTGGCAAGAAGACTTAGTGAAGGAAAGGGAAAAAGCAGTTTAGACTGAATAGGACGCGTGTTAGAAAGTGATGATGTGAACTCAAATTGTAGAGCCAAAATTCAAGCTAGAAGCAGACTGGGTGGAGAGGTAGGTACATGCTAGGTCATAAGGACTAGGTGTACTCCGCTGAGAAGTTTGAATGGAATTCACTTAAAGATGCTAAACCGTATAGGATTTTCACCTGAAAAGGGCATTGACGTTTAAATTTGCATTTTTGTTTGTTGTTCTGTCTGTACTGTGGAAGACACAAAGACTGGACAACAATAGAAGAAGGATTGAAGGGAACAGAACAGTTGTTGGGAGACAACCGCTCTACTACAGGCCAATGTGTGCTCACTGCTCGGCGGCGTTTGACTGTTTATGTCGCCAGGGACTGTGGACGTCCAGGCTCCTCTGTCCATGAGATTTCCCAGGCAAGGATACTGGAGTGGGTTGTCACTTCCTTCTCCAAAGGATCTTCCCCACCCAGGGATTGAACCCAGGGCTCCTACATTGGGAGGTGGATTCTTTACCCCTGAACCAAAGTGTCTCTTAAATAGGTCACTGATTGTAGGGGATGGTGAGAATTACAGAAATAATTGAAGTAAAACTGTCTGGATTTGCTGATTTTTCTCTTGTGATCAATACTCTTTGTATTGATCAGCAGGCTTTGCCTGCTTCAAAACCATTAAATTAGTCACCTGTGTTTTCTTAAATGCTTTACATTTTTATCTTTCACAGCCAGACTTATTCATGTTTATAAAAGGTGGGAAGTCAGGATCGAGATTCCTCCTTCCCCCACCCCTATGGATATCCAATTGACCCAGACCTATTTACTGAAAAGACTATCATTTGCTCTTTCCCCCAGTAAATAATTATGGCACAGTTGTAAAAAGTAGATAACCAGATATACAAGGGTCTATTTCCAGGTTCTCATTTCATTGGTCTGCCTAAACGTGTTCCACACTATCTTAATTAATGTAGCTTTATAAGTCTTAAGGAGCCCTGTAACTTTTTCAGTATTGCCATGGTACTCTTGGCTAGTCAAAATCCTTTGTATTCACATTATTTTATACATTTTATAAAACTTATTTCCATTTGTTTATAAATTTTAGAATGAACCTGTCAATTTCCAAAAAACAGTTATAAAAACTCTACTAGGATTTTAACTGGGCTTACATTGGATCCATAGGTCAGTTTATTTGGGGAAAACTGACATCCTAGTATTTTTTTAAATTGAAATATAGTTAATTATGGCGTCATGTTACTTTTTTTGTACACGGGTGATTCAGATAGATAGCTATTCCTTTTCATATTTTTTCCATTATAGTTGAGTACAAGGTATTGAATACAGTACCCTGCGCTACACAAGCAGTTTGCTTTATATATATAGTAGTTTGGATCTGCTAATTTTTCCCTCCTCCACTTTCCTCTTTGGTAACCATAAGTTTGTTTTCCATGTCTGTCGTGTCTGCTTTTTAAATAAGGTCATTTGTATCATATATTAGATTCCACATATAAGTTATACCATATGATATTTGTCTTTGCTTGACTTCACTTAATACGGTAATCTATGTAGATCTGTCCATTTTGCCACACACAAAAAAATGGCATTATTTCATTCTCTTTTATGGCTGAGTAGCATTCTATTGTATATCTACATACCACATCTTCTTTATCTATTGATCTGTCAATGGACATTTTGGTTGCCTCCATTTTTTTTTTCTGACATCTTTGTATTTCCTCCAATCCATGAATGTAATATACATCTCCATTTATTTAAGTAGTCTTTAAGTTCTCTTGGCAGTGTTTTGTAGATTACAGTGGAGATGTCTTACATATCTTTCATTAGATTTATTCGTGGGTATTTAGGTTTTTTATGCTTTTTAAATGGCATTTTAAGTTTTTAATATTCTACTTGTTTGTTGCTAGTATTTGTTGAAACACTGCTGATTTTTACATATTGACCTTATAGTCAACAATCTTGCTAAGTTCATTTATTATTTCTTATATATAATTTCCCTTATTATATAATATTTTGTAGATTCTTTTAGAATTTCTGTTATTTCACTGTCTTGTCATCTGTGAATAGATGGGTAAACGTCCTCCTGTGCAGTCATTATACCTTTTATTTTTCTTGCTGGTTGTCACTGGTTTGGATGTCTACTATAGTGCTAAATAGAAGTAGTGATGATGGACTTCCTGTCCTGGTTGTAACACTTAGGAAGAAAGCATTCAATATTAAATGATTTTTCTGCCTTTATTGAAATGTCCATGTGTATTTTTCTTTAGTATGTTAGTGTTAATTAGTTTGGTTGGTTTTCAGATGTTCTCTAAATGGCCAATGTGCATATGAAAAGAAGTTCTACCTCAATAGCTGTATCAAGGGACAGTAAAATAATTTGGTACTAAACACTCCTATCAAAATGGCTTAAATTAAAAGGAGTTCCAGTGCCAAGCACTGACAAGGATATGGAGCACCTATAACTTTCATATATTGCTAGTAAGAGTGTAAATTGGTATTGCTACTTTAGAAAACTTTGACACTATCTACTAAAGCTAGTCATATATATACCATCCTGCCCAAGAATTCTACCAGTAGTCATATGCCCAAGAGAAAAGAATACTTACGTTCATGTACAAAAATACTGATTGTAGCATTACCAACAAAAGCTGGAAATAATCTAAATGTTCTTTCACAAAAGAAAAATACTACAGAGCAAAGACTAAGAATAAATTATCAGTACACGAAACAATATGGATGAACCTCACACACATAATATTGAGTTAAAGAAGCCAGACAGAGTACATCCTGGTTGAGTCCCATTTTTATGAAGAGAAGAAACATTGTGAGGGATGTCAGAGAATGATCTCTTGGGAAGGGCCATGAGAATGACTTCTTCTTGATGTGGGAAATGTTATATATCTTAACTAGGGTGATAATTACATTAATGATGCAGGAGACCCAGGTTCACTCCCTGGGTCAGGAAGATCCCCTGCAGAAGGGAATGGCTATCTACTCCAGTATTCTTGCCTGGAGAATTTTATGGATAGAGGACCCTGGTAGGCCATAGTCTATAGGGTTGCAAAGAGTCAGACACAACTGAGTGACTTTCATTCAGGTGTCAAATTTTTCGAGTTACACATTTGTGGCAGAAAGTGAAGAAGAACTAAAGAGCCTCTTGATGAAAGTGAAAGAGGAGAGTGAAAAAGTTGGCTTAAAGCTCAACATTCAGAAAACTAAGATCATGACATCTGGTCCCATCACTTCATGGCAAATAGATGGGGAAACAGTGGAAACAGTGGCTGAGTTTATTTTGGGGGGCTCCAAAATCACTGCAGATGGTGACTGCAGCCATGAAATTAAAAGATGCTTACTCCTTATGAAGGAAGGTTGTGACCAACCTAGATAGCATATTAAAAAGCAGAGACATTACTTTGCCAACAAAGGTCCATTTAGTCAAGGCTATGGTTTTTCTAGTAGTCATGTATGGATGTGAGAGTTGGACTATGAAGAAAGCTGAGCACAGAAGAATTGATGCTTTTGAACTGTGGTATTGGAGAAGACTCTTGAGAGTCCCTTGGTCTACAAGGAGATCCAACCAGTCCATCCTAAAGGAAATCAATCTGGGTGTTCACTGGAAGGACTGATGTTGAAGCTGAGACTGCAATATTTTGGCCACCTGATGTGAAGAGCTGACTCATTGGAAAAGACCCTGATATTGGGAAAGATTGAGGACAGGAGGAGAAGGGGATGACAGAGGACGAGATGGTTGGATGGCATGACTGACTCAATGACATGAGTTTGGGTAAACTCTGGGAGTTGGTGATGCACAGGGAGGCCTGGTGTGCTGCGGTTCATGGGGTCGCAAAGAGTCGGACTCAACTGAGCAACTGAACTGAACTGAACACATTTAAGATTTGTGCACGTTATGCTTCAGTGAAATAGAAAA